CATTGGGAGTTTTCACAATTTCCAATTCTCGATAACCTCACAAAAGAGCTACAATTTGAAGACTTAATCGTTTGGGCCAGTCATTTACCACAACTCCGAAAGGAAATGAAAAATATATTTTCCGACCTGAATGACATGAGTATCTGGAGTTGGATCTTAGATCCATTCGATGTATAGCCTTGCGATGATGGAGTTAAAATCCAGGAAACCGTTCCTAGGGCTTCAAAGTCGAATAAGCCTTTAGATCACCATGTTGTGTATAAAGATACGCTTATCCCAACCGCATACACACAATTCGATCTTACTGGTATACAAATGCTTGCACGTCTTTTGTGTACAAAGCTTTCTCAGTTAGTAAAACTAAATGACATTATATTCCTATACGTACCACTCACATGGTGTCTACATAGGGTTTTACAATAAACCATGATGCGCTTTCTGGAAATTTATGGAGAAATATTCCTCTTTTACACCAAATGGTCACATGCAATGTGTTGCCTTGCAGGAAGCATTCTCAACACTGATATATCCTTCTCATGTTTCTACGTATGTTATATTTCTCATTAAGAGGGAAAACCGACACTTAAACAGTTTCTACTGACTGCTTTGTATGGCATTTTACTGCATCGCTTGCTGCACTCACCAATTTGAATTTCGTCGCAAACCTATATACTTTGCAGGGGCTTCAAATTGGCCGTTGTCGCTGAGAAGGCATTTTTATACTAGGTAATGTGGAATCGTCAAACTCTTATATATCACTTCACAACTTCCTTATCTGGATTATTTGTTACGACCAAAATATCCTATTCTGCCGATTTTATAAAGACTTCACGTGACATAAGTTTTACTCGTAATGTGTTAAATATTCCCATTCCCTATAAGTGATCCTTAACTGCTTGGGGGAAAAGTGAGAAAGCAGCAGTGCGGATAAAAAGCCAGTCTAAGACCTCGTTCAGTAAACCGGACGCAATGTCTAATGATCTTTCCAAGTAATGCTCGATCTCTGCTAGGTGCAATCATGGACGTTATCGCAATCTTGCATCGAAGAGAAGATGCTATCGCCGCCGTTTCGTGGCTACAGGGAAGTTGTTTATGTTTGGATATGCAAAACGAAGTTATTCAACTTACTGACTACCATTCCATCAAGTCCGATAGACCAAGCTTATCTCAGAATCTTGAAGTTAGTGAAAATGCTTACAGCAACCAACGCTGTTGAATTTTGAAAGCCTTAGTTTATCCGTACAAAAAATCCGTGTTAGCTGTTATTTGATTGAATGTAATCCACGGTTCCTGTGTTGTTTTATTTCTGTTGTCGTCGGAAACGTAAACAAATCGCTGGACATATCAACGTCCGAGCTAGGCAGATTTCCTGTTTAGTCATCCTCGATCTTATTAATGTAACTAGCGCGCCCAGTTAGGGGAAGTGCCGGAGATTCATGTAAATGCTATACCAATCTTATTCAGGCATTTGTTCTGAAAACCTGGTGAATTTTACTAACTAGACAACAATACAATTAGATTTTGTATGCACAAAAGCACAACTGTTTTCCACTCAATCAAGTGCTCTACTCGTCAACTCTGAATATTTCATCATAAAGGTACGCCATATTATTTACAACAAGGCAAACTCTGTTTCTTTGGATTATATACCATTCAAAACAAAAAAGCGAAGAAGATCACGAAACTTCAAACAATGTTGTCCTCCACGGATTTTACTGTTTTCAACAACGACAGTTTGTCCGTTCAGTGTGAGCATCTCAAAGACTATCTCAATTTATGTTTGCTGCCCAATTGAAACTATTAAGTGGCAAAGCCGGTTTTTCTCCCCATAACAGAAACAACTTATCGAGAAGAATGCACATGCATATAAATGTACATTTCCCGGTTAAGAAACTTACTCTATTCAGGCATAGATGTTAGATTACGCGACTGAATTGCCTGTATAGTTTAGCTATTATATTGTATAACGACTACCGCAACCTGTGACAGCTGTTGAAACACATGTGTCAAAAGGCTGTATGAAAAAGCTAGAGGTTGTGGATGTCGATAAACCCAACGCTGAATTCTAATCTGTCCCTGCTGCCTGCATTCATTTCGCCCGCAGCTACTGCGATATTTGCATTCCAATACATTGAGGTCTACCAGCAAATCAAGAGGCTAAATTTGAGGAAAGCAGGAAGAATTTATACTTTATTACACATTGTTTTAAATAAATGCGCCGAGTCCCTTACGTTACCTCAATGTATCACTATTCCCGACATATGAAAAGCAGTTATGATAATGTCAGCCCCAAAAAGATGCTCAGAATTTTCGCCCCATTGTTCATACTTCTATCGCGCTGAAAGTCAGAATGACTGCTTTTTCCTTGTATTTATATCACCACTCCAGCTAGAAACGTCACTAAGCTTGCTTCTAATCCCAAACGCTCCACAATGTATTCAGTGGTCTTTTAGGTTCACACAATAGCATCTGCGTTAGATGTTAAATACTAAGCGTACGTCTGGTTTTACTAGATTACTCAAACGCTTTTGGGCGTGTTGACAGTTCACTACTTCGTAACCTGTTACCAACAAAATAGTCCAAGCTGCGGTGGGCAAGCTAATTGAAACTTATCTTACAAATCGTTCGCAATGCACATAACTGAACGGCAAAATGCCCTTCACTCTTGGTAACTACTAGAGTCTTTTACATCGATCAATCGTCTCGCTCCCTTTGTTTTCTTTTGCATCGAGTGACTTCCTATTCCAGCAGGCTTTATTAGACGTAAATACGACGACGACCTTGTGACAGGTAGCATCATTTTCATAAACGCCTTATTCTCGTCGATACAAAATGGGTTAGACGAGATTGAACTGTGGTCATTTTCCTTATCCATTGTCCAAAACGCTTCAGTTTGCCGAGACTTAAGCTTTTCTCTTATACACGTTGACATGCGTCAAACTTAACCAAGTGCATAAAACCCCATTTTTGTTAACGAATGCGTTGTGCTTGGTTCACTTACTGTTCGTTTTCTTGTATTGGTTTTATCCCAAAAATTAACATAGTATGAACACATCGACAAAGCCTATCTCAAGGTAAGAAAAATATCATTTGATATCCTGCGGCTCAGGATGCTTTCAGTATCATGATATTTAACCTACAATTAGTAGGTATCTGTATTCTCTCTCATTGGCTGTTCCGCTCGCTTGTTATTTTCTCTGGTCTTCTGCAAAAAGACCTTGCAATTATTGTCAGTTTGATTAATGGTATCTGTTAATGCATAGGATTACCCCTAGAGTTTATTGCCGACTTCACTTTTACCAAGCATTTTATGCATACCACCAATTTTTTTCACATAATTTGGATGACCTATACCACCCCTGCAATATGCATTATCGAATACTCGTTTCTTCTCATATACGTGCTTAACATTAAAGGTTCTGTATTGACGCATTCCTTTTCATGGTAACTATGTGTTGCCATATAGATCAAGTGTTCTAATAAACCCTACGATGATCACTGATGCCATACATGGATGTCTGACTGAATGTATGCATATTTTGTTTTTTGCACTAGTTGTCTGTCCTGTTAAGTAATCTTTTTGTACCTAATATATTTTATCCACAGGTCTATTGCAAAATTGCGAAAACGTGCTTGTGCTGGTACATTAAGCTTCTCCTGACTTGAATTGACTTGTATAATATGACGGTGCAAAATATCCGCAATTGGGGTGAATGCCATTAAAATCATTCAACTTTCTTTGCGGTTCAGATGATAGGAGTTTACTTGGTTTCAATTCAAATTGGATATTTTCTTCCGAACATAATACGAAAGTCCCAGAAGTGTATGAGTATTGCTGGTAGACATCAAGCAAATTTCAGCAATTGCATGGTTTGTATCGATTGTTACACTTGTCATTTGAGTACTGGATAAACAGATCATTTTACTGTTACTCAGCAGCAAACCCACAACACAACCTCCTGTAATACCTTATGGTTTATAATACCCCAAGCACAGAAAAGTGACAGATTTCCTGCATAATATACGAAAACATTGTGATTAGGTTAACGACACGTAAGAGAAACCGCGCTGTTTAATGTCGCCACCACGCTTATTACGAAATTATAGCTTGATAGATATAAAAATAATAAAACGGTAATTTAGCTGCTATAGCATATGTTAATCACAATTCAAGAATTTTGGAAACTGTTTAAGCCATTTTCATGTGATGATAATTGGTGTTCAGACCTACTATGAGCGTAAACCTTGGTACGTCTATGTAACTACGTTTATTTTACAATTTTTGTTTGGGTATTTGGTTGAAAAATTTCTTCTGTGTTTGACCATGTTGCTAATGACTTCTCTTTAATTTTTAGCCGAATGAGGAGTAAGTTTTTTCTCCTGGAATAACCAACATGAACCACACAAACGGCACAATCCTTGTGGCCCACCCTGCCGCGGTGGAGGTAATCCGTAAAGTTTACGCTGTCGTTCTTATCGTCATATTCATTATCGGCATGGTGGGTAACGCCTTGACGGTGGTGGTCCTATGCACCAAAAGACTAAGACAATCCAGCACGGCGATTTATCTGACAGCTTTGGCTATTGTGGATATGTTGTATCTGGTGGTCAGCCTGCTAGTCAGTATCGTCAACTTCACTATTCTTTTTCCAAAAGATCTTCGTCATGAATCCTCCCTCACATGTTACCTTTCGCCATTCCTTCATTACACTCTTGCTTATTTGAGCGTTTGGCTCATGGTTGCTGTAACTGTGGACAGGGCCATATGGGTGACCAAACCATTCAAAGCAAAGCATGTTTGTACCCAACGAAACGCTGTCATTACAATTATTCTTATCACTGTGGCACTCGTGATAATGGACTCGCACTTTTTCTGGACAATGCGTTACGGAACTGTGGATAGCAGTCACACAACGGCTGAGTGTATTCCAGATTACTTCACAAGCAGCGTTTTTCCTTATATTGATATGCTTTTAATATGTTGCTTTCCGTTCGTGTTTATGTTGGTCTCAAACATAATGATTGGTTGGCAACTGAAGCGAATGCGCGAATTCAGCAAACGGCGGCAAGCAACGCACACACAACGAGTTCGAATACCTAGCATTGTTCCAAGTAGTCAACATGACGATTTGTCCACCCGGAGCATTGCGTCTACCGTAATTAATAGTTCCAGAATGCGCTCCTCCGAAACCAAAGAATGTGAACGAAAGCGTCGTCGTCGTGAGCCGAACGACTCCATGAAGGTCAAGTCCAACACAGAAAAATCATCCGCTTTGACTGCAATGTTGATTGCTATAAGTGTGTTCTTTATGGTCAGTGTTTCGCCTCTGATGATCTACGACGTTCTCTATTACGCGGTAGACTTAAACAAGTGGATTGAAGGGGATGAACCATGGAGAGTGACTATCATCGTTGCCGTAGAACGCTTTGTTTACACATTGTGGTATACAAACTTTGCGATTCATTTCATACTATACTGCCTTAATGGTCCACCTTTTCGAGCTAAAGCTGTCAGTCTTTTCCGATCAACCTGTTGTCGTCCATTGCATCAAGGGCATTGTGCCTTGATTGAAGGTGGACCATCGGTAATCGAATGTGAGAAAATGAGATTGAGGATCACAGCATCCACAAAAACAACGCAACGGACAACTGCACAGAAAACAACACAACAGACGTCACAGGAAGCTTGGGAATCCAAGAAGTGGATGGTAGGAAAGTCACAAGATCAAGCTAAAGGTCAAGTGCGTGTGGTAGTTCCAGCAATAATATTGGAGGCAGAAGATCCTGATATTTCCAACGAGCGGCGCGTGGCCAGCACATTTATATAAAATGATATTTTCACAATTTATATAAGGACGATATTTATAAGTATTTATAGATTAAATCAAGCTTGTGAATTTGATTTAGTTTATTGTTCCCCTAAGAGAACTGCAGAATACTTGTTTAAAATTTACTAATGCTGAGAGGACCAAAGATAATTTCAGGGTCTTTCAAATCGGACTGTAACATATAGAATACTGTGAATTTTAGAAACAACTGCGTGAGGCACCTATGCTATCTCATTCAGTCCAGAGAGATATTGTTAAGTCTAATCAAAGCATAGCAATATTTCCTGAAATTCTTAGCGGACGCCTATGAGAATATAATGCGAATGTCGTTTATGCGTATAATTTATGGAAAGTGGTAAAATTGAGGACGTTTAAATTGTTCTTCTACAAAAGATTACGATAAATTTATTCGTGACATTCGTGGGCTATTGTCTACTGAGTTGTTTATGTAAAACTAGAAAAAATGCGGCCAAGATCTGATAGGATATATTGTATTGTTTGCACTAATGTGTTTCTAATTTCCTACCCTACCAGGATAAATTGATTTACAAATATATTACTAAACTTTCTTCATCTGTCCAACCTTCCATCTAAAAGTATATTATGTGTAAAGGACGAGCCATTTAGATCAATACCTCATACATTTTACAGTCCGAGCCTTGGGTTCGTGCACAAGTTAAAGCACCCTTATTAAGCCCGTGTTTGAATGTATTAGCTAGTTGGCGGTATCTATTAACCGAAAGCTAATAAGTGATGATATCCGAAGATGATGATGGTATCCGATATCCGGAAGAAAATGCACTCGAAAATTACGATGTCTTTGCCGAAAGTGGGAATGCGTATCTTTCCATTTGCCTTTGCAAATGCAGGTTTCAGAAAATAACAAAAAATGAAAGGTTAGAGAAACTTTTTGATATGCATCTTCTTTGCGGTATATTATATATCTAGAAACGTAATCAGACAAATAAGTAAAGTTTTTAAAATGGAGACAAACCAAGGTTAGAATGAAGTAACCAAAACTATTGATGAAGTAAATATTTAGATCTGCTTGCAATGTAGGGGAGGATAGGGCGGAGCTTGAGGAAACGATAAAAGACACTGTCGTCAAACAAAGAATGTGGGTACTAAATTCGCTTTCAGTAACATTGCAAGGGGAGAGACGTAGGACGTTCTTTCCAAACAAACCCGACGATTCAGTGCTACCGAGATTCCACGGCCTACCTAAATTACGAAATTGGGGTACCGCTTCGCCCTATGGTGTCATTGCCCGGGGCACCGAATTACAAGCTGTCCAGGGATCTTTGTAAACTGTTGAGACTCTTAATTGTAGGCTCAGAGCGCTCAATCCAGTCAGCAGAACAATTCCTTGGAAAGGTCAAAGGAATAACACTAGAAAGAGACGAGATAATGGTCCGTTTGAGGTTGCAGCTTTGTTCACATCAATTGCTGCTACACTGGCGAAGCAACTGAGGATTCTGCTTGAAAGACACGAATCGGTGAGTACCAGCAACCGAATGGAAACCCCACAAATGATGGAGGTGCTTGAATTCTGTCTCACCACACATGTCACTTTAAATGGCCAAATGAAAAAAAACAGATAACGGGTACGAGAATGGGATGGCTAATCTCTGGACTGGTAGCAGAGACAGGAATGCAAAACTTGGAACAGAATGCATTGTCAATATTGGAGACCTGACATTGGGTACGTTAATTAGGCGATACTTATTTCATTCTCGAAAGCTACCGACTATAAAAGCACACCAAGTAATCAACAATATCTTGCCGGCATCCATCTTACCAAAGATAAAGATAACAATGATCAGTTGCCATTTCTGGACGTGCTCGTGAGTATATCCGCTTCTGGGTCACCGGAATTAAGTTTATAGAAAAGCTACACACACCGATCAGATCTTTATCTCTCGCAGTAACCATCCGACCATATATTAGTGAAGTGGCAGGGGGACGCTTTTCAAACGGGCCCATACACACTGTAACTCGCCGCGACTGAGAAAGACGAAGGAAGACCACTTATTTAGCATATCTCAACGAAATTCGCACCCTCGAAGGTTTATTCTACGCTTCCACATGTCAAGGAACCAAGCACAACCCGCGTCCACAAGTGCAACAGAAAGAAGAACGATTATCCTACTTTTCATCCAAGGGATTTCTGAAATGTCAGCGGGGCTTCTAATGTCTCACAGGATAAATTTTGCACATAAAGCAACGGAAACCAATGGAACTAAACTTTTTAAGGTTAAGGACAAACTGCTTAAGAAAGAAACACCAGGTGCAGTTTAAAAAATATCCTGCAAGAACTTTGACAATTAATTTGTGGGCCAGACTGGAAGAAAACTTGGCACAAGGTTGCAAAATATAGTCTCACCATCCGCCGCCACCATGAAAATCCTTAATGTCAGTACACGTGTATGCCGAGAACCATCAGTTCCATCTAGATAAAGGTTTTAATACATGGAAGAGCAGGAAACCACAGAACGCGTGAGTACCTGGATACCTGGCATTCTGGCCGGAACTCAACCAACAAATACCTGGAGCTTGACGGTTTCTGCTAAACTCTACAGGTTAAACCAGTCATGAACACCAGATCGACAACGAGAAGACGTGCTCACTCAACCGATCCACGTGAGCTAATAGAAAGCTGACATGTAAAGCAGGTAAAAATCAATAGTCATTCCGATCTTACATCGGTTTGCGAGACTCCGCGGATCATGACTGAATAGCCGCACGGAAGATGTTGCCTTATTTGGTAACGAAACGTCTACAACAGAAATGCGCGGATCAGAGAACAGGAAAATGCTCTCATCCACACATCGAACTACAAATTTTCTCAATCATTTCCAAACCAAAAAGATATTTAGCAACTTTTCTTCCCTGTCACTTGAACATATTCCTGTTGAAATATTGCCCTTAGGCCCGAAGTTTTGCCTTCTTAGCAGAAGAGATTCCAGATTAGCAGTTAAAGCTCAATGGAATACTAGTGCAATATAGAGAAAATGCTCAGATTTGTAAGTCCCTTTAGGATGGTTTGTAGTAGTAACGATAGTTCAAGAAAAATCTACCCAAATATCAAATCCGCTTATGTGGGTTTACTATATTTTCCACCTTAACACAAAGCACATCCAACTAACCCGATTTCTTGAAAGTAGTTGAGCATTATGTTTATCGGCTTTTTGTCGTCACTCAATGAAGAGTACTCAGTTCAAGTCACGTAGGTAGAGTAAAACGCAGCCAGGTTATGTTTATAAATGGCTAGCGTTGGTGCAGAAAGGACAACAGTCAAAAGAACGTTCTACGGTTAAAATCTCAAAGGGATAGTTAATTTTTGCGGCAATCCAGCCGACTTATTTGGTTTACCTGGTTCAGCTGATGACCAATGAATTATGCGTTGCGTCTAAGCTTCAGGAGGTGGTGACAACATTGGCCGAAGTTTTACAAGTTCTTGAACGCCAGGATGATATCATCCCCTAGATAGCGATATATTCTGCTGTACATTCCCGGATATTTAGTTGCAAATGGTATGCAGGTAGAAAAATCCCATCAACTTTTCGCCGCCCCTTGCTATGTGATATCCAGTGCAGCCAGCTCACCTATTAACCAGGGTTGCTACGCCTGGATGTAGTAACCCACTTGGGGCCTAACAATGATCTTAAGCATCAGGGGCCGGTTGAATTGGTCAAACCTCCCAAGCAGTGGTTTGGTACAGCATGACCGATGCAGTCGGAATCCTTGTTGTTCCAATGCTTTGATCTTAGAACATCTAAAGAAGACGTTTAGATCCTTAGGTATGAGCAACATTATCCACTTTAAGAGCATCGGGAGGAGAAACACTAAGTTATAGTTTGTGGCCTCTGCACGACCACCAACCTTGAAACTCGGGTTAGCGATGCCCTGCTTCCCAATATCAGGTATCTGCTGTTCTTTACGCCTCTTTATAATTATCTCGTTAATTTATCCCCTATTATCATGGCTTCCGACTGCAGTTATATGGTGGAACTGCTGCTGACTCCGGGGGAACTATGGGTGCGCAAAGATTGTAGTTTCCTCAATATGTAGGCCAAAGGGCACGTTGAGTGCATGACTATTGACACAAGGAGAATGTACAGACATGTTACGGATGCCGGTAGCACGTCGGAATATTGCGGCATATTGTAGCCGTAGAACTTTGTCTGCATCCTCGGCGGCTTAAGCACATCCATCTGTTGATACTATCGTGGGAACATAACGATTTATATTCCGCAAGCTGCTAACATATCTGTACAAAAGCTTTGTTGGCACAAAAGTTTTCTCAAAGACTAGGCTTGTGTATTAATTTGTCCACGCGTACAATTGTAACAGCGCTTACGATGCATAACATAGTTAGTTTAGTAGACATTCATAGGTTTGGCTCTAGAAACAAGCCACGACGCGTCTCTAACTGGCATGTGTTTTCCGGTTCTACTCCGAATAATTGATTGTGCCCTTACGAAATGAAGGAGCATGTTGAATGATGTAGATTTAATCAGACCACTAAATTTGTTAGAAAACTCAATCCAGGCACTGCCAATGGGCAAGTCTTCCGAAAATTCCCAGATGGCATCATTCACATGTTCTGGCAGTATGTCGTAAAGTGTGATTTTACATAATTATTCGCTATGCTCTTTTCGATACTCCGTATAACACATTAAGTCGTGACTTATGGTTAACTGGTCCCTCCGCCCCAGAGAGCTCTCCATCCTTGTTTTCCCAACCACGACCTCTTTGACCGTTAGCAATAAATAAAGTAAAGATGGTTTATTTCTCGCTGGGAATCAGCTGAGGGAACTGACATTGCTAAAGAGCGGAATGCTTGCGATATGCTTTTGCAGGTCAGTCTTATATTGTTTATTCGGTGATGGTCAAGATACCAGTCCGTGAAAACTGAAGTCGTCTGAGGTAGAGGCATTGTTGCATCCTCGTCCTAGAACCGTCCCAATGATAATGTCAATGGATTGCCAAATTTTGCG